ATTTTCCACGTGGGAGAGAGGCATCCGAACATTCCAAATATGCAGCAGGCGTCAGGGTCTGAATCGAACCCACGACCTCCTGCATGCCAGGCGAGGTAGTTAACGTTTCACCGTGGCGGTGGCTCGGCGTGCGAGTGGTGCTGGCCTTGCCTTGGCGTGGGTGCCGAGCTTGCGGCCGCGGCGCTACGGGCACTCCCCTCGCCGTGCCGACACCCGGCTGACAAGGGGCATCTTTTGCCTTGCCCGTTGGTCTTTGTGCTCGGGCTGGGGGGTTTGGGGATCGGCTCCACTGCTTCGTTAATGGCTGCGGCCGAAAAAATTGATGGCTCGTTGGTGATTGTGCAAAGGGCGAATGTGTGAATCCTCGAAACGCTAAAGTTGCAGAGGTGATACGGTGGGGTGGGGCGGTTGTGAGGGACACGACGCTTGCGGTGAACAACGTGTCCACCGCTCGGCACGACGCGTCGCCGTCATATTGTGGTGACCGATGAGCAGGGAGGCCCGCCGTTGGCCCGTGGGGCTGTCTTATTTGATGGCGCGTTTGACACGGTGACGGAGACGCCTTGCAAAGCCCATTGGCGGTTCGACGATTTTAAATTTGTATTCCTGAAGTATGCCCGGTGAGTTCTGTGAGGTGAGGCTAGAACCTGTACGAGTGTTGTTGCAACTGAACTAGTGCATTTGTCGCCCAGTTGTACAGGGTGGCCCAAAAGTTAGGACACGTAGGGTTATTTAATTTACTTTAACACTGGCATTCAAACATTTTAACACTGGCATTAAAACATGAATTATCACATTTCGTACATTCATATTTTATCTATTATTATTATCTATGTTTAGCTTTTCTGTGGGAGTCACCTCAAATCCAAAACTCGACCAAGAACCTAATTAATTCAAAACATAATTGATGATTGTTTTAAGATTACACATCACTGTGATCTTTAAAAAAATTAAGTCCTACATTAATTTCATAAGAGAATTCATGCATGCGTTAACGGAAGTCGGTTTTAACATGTGTAATTAGTTAAAATACCTCTACAGTAAAAACCCTTAGCATTCAAATGTGCTTCCATCTCGTGTTTTGGCTTCCGTGCGTGACTCAGAGGTTAACCGTGTTCTTCCTGCAAAGTTGATTAATAACCGCTCACTTTCATTCAATAGCAATAAAAATAATAAAAAGTTCTGACAGGTCGCCCATGACAGGCCCTCCTTAGGGATGGCACAGGCCCACAGTGCAGTGCTCAGGTGAAGCGTTGCTCGATGAACGCAAATCAATCCGCTTCTTGCGGAGGAGCTGGTCACGACAGACCGTCCTGCGCGGGACGGGCTGAAGGTCCTTCGTACCGTGTCATCGCCGCCCTGAGCCATGTTCAGTCCGCTGCTGCTGCTGCTTGAAAGCCTCCCCGAGCCACTGCCGCCGCCGCTACCTCTCAATCCCGCGTTTGGATAATCCACTTAGCGACTGCACGTGAAGTGATTTCATCGCGACAGCTTTAGCCTCGAATGTTAATGCGTAGCACGTGTGTATGTTGAACTTCTTTCGTGCCGTACATAGCCAATCGGAGGTGTGGTAGTCGGCACTTGACGATGTTCGTATGTTGTTACCACCATATCTCGTTGTTATGCTGAGAAATCAATAAAGACTAAATCCATCATCCTATCAAGCTTCGCAGATTCCAGCGGCGTTTTTGTTTAAGCAAACATACTCGGGACAGGTTTCGACTTTCCAAGTCTCATCAGGAGAGTCAGGCCTATTAAAAATATATCTAAGCATGCCTTTTCTTGTTTTACCCATAATCCTTCATTTCAGTGTTTAATCAGTCCCGCATTCTCCGGATTATAAGACACTCCGGAAAGTAAGATGTACCTAAAATGTGTGCCCAGTGCCAGGTGGGAAGCAGTCTGGTCACACGCACAGACACGTTGACCAGTTTATGAGACGACCCCCCGACATTTGCTTTAAAATACAAAGGGACAAAGTGGATCTTGTAATCCGGAGAATACGTTAATTGTGGTACTGGAGTTGAGCCACGGAGGCAAAGAGGGAATTCCTCATCAAAGTTGTAAGAGATAATAGCTGGCACGTTTCTTAAATTGAGCAAGGCTATTATTGTAAGAGTCTTGGGAAATGAGACGATGGGTTGGAATTCCAAAGTTGAGCAGTGTGCAAGGGGGAATAAGCAGCAAGACAAGTGATGTGACCTGGAGTGTGGTGGTTGAACACAGTGTGGTGGTGGTGGTGGTTTAACAGTGTAGGTGATGGTTGAACATATTGTGATGTTGGTGGTGGTAGTTGTGCACAGTGTAGTGGTTGTACACAGTGTGGTGGTCGTAGTTGTACACTGTGGTGGTAGTTGAACACAGTGTGGTGGTGGTGGTGGTAGTTGTACACAGTGTGGTGGTAGTTGAACACTGTGGTGGTGGTGGTGGTAGTAGTTGTACACAGTGTGGTGGTAGTTGAACACAGTGTGGTGGTTGAACACAGTGTGGTGGTGGTGTTTTAACAGTGTAGGTGGTGGTTGAACATATTGTGATGTTGGTGGTGGTAGTTGAGCACAGTGTAGTGGTTGTACACAGTGTGGTGGTCATTGTTGTACACAGTGTGGTGGTAGTTGAACACAGTGTGGTGGTGGTGGTGGTTTAACAGTGTAGGTGGTGGTTGAACATATTGTGATGTTGGTAGTTGAACACAGTGTGGTGGTTGAACCCGGTGTAGATGGTGGTTGATAAGACGAGTCGTCCAGCGTCTGCTAGAGACAGACTCAACATGGGTGGAGGAATCAACGAGTGGGGTTCACGGGAGCAGTGGCCACGGGAGTTTGCCGACTCTCCTCAATGCTGCGGCGTTGGCGCTCGTGCCGGTGCGGTGCGCGCACCGCACACGCTACCCATCCCGCGCCGGCCCCAGCGCCAGCAGCAGCTGCAGCCCCGTTGAAACGGCGCCACGAGGAGAAGCTGAAGAAACAAATTACCGCCTGAGCATTGTCTGCAGATCTCGTTTGAGACGGTGGCCTTGTTTCTCACGATAAATCCATTAATTCCCGTCTGAGCCAAATGACCCAGTCCAGCAGTTTAGGTGGGGAAGGCTCTCAATGGGTTTAGGGAGATGAGGGCCGGAGATGGTGGGGGGTGAGGGGGGGTGAGCTGGTGGGGAGGGGGGTGAGGTGGCGGGGTGAGATGGGGGGGCCTAAATGAGCTGTGGGGAATTGTATGATGCAGGAGAGTGGTGGTTGTCAGAACAGAGGGCTGCCTGTCAGCCCGAGCTGTAGTTCCTGCTGTGTGTGTGTTTGTGGGGAGCGGTGGAGTGGCGGTTAGCGCGCTGTGCTATGAACCCGGCGACCCGAGTTCGATTCCCGCTCACGGCCAACAACCACGAGTGACGATTATCTGGACTGGTCCCGGGCCTCCCCTAGGTCGACTCAGCCACAAATGAGTACCTGGTGCGATATGTATAAACATCGCCACTAGGGAGACAAAGGCGGCCGGGCGTGGTGTTGGCCACCCACCCCCTCGTGTGCCGTGCCAGCCTTTATAGGTGCTCGCTAACAGCACTTGCCCCTAAAGTCTGTTAAGGCTATATGAGGGATCTTTGTCTTTTATCTTTGTGAAGCCTGGGTCTGTCCCGTGACCTCCTGCTAGCGGGCGTTCGACGCTTCACGTGGCCTTAAAGTGCACTTACCCTGGCACAAGCACCGCGGTGACATCACCACCACTTAGTGGCCAGTGGCGGTTGTTGTGGTGCCTGACTCTAGCCCCCCTAGATTTGTTTGAGGCTGTGATCAATACCGCCCCCCGCCCCCGAAATGATGCATCCCAATATCCCCTACACAATACAAGTTACCGTATTCTCTGGATAGTGAGACGTGCACCCCGGGCTTTCTTTTGTCCAGTGTCAGTTACGTTAACCCCAATCTGATCTCCGCACACGCGCGCCCGCACATTATTTCACACATCACCCCCAACTTTACTTGAGAATATAAGGGAGGTGGAAAGTGCTCCTTACAATCCGGAGAATACGGTAACAACTTGGCTGTACGCTGTGCCAGTGTTGCGGTCACAAGCATCGAGTGCGTGAATGTCATTAACAAACTCTAAGGAAGGCGTAGACCAAATCATTCTGTTGAGCAGCAGTAGGAGATCATCAGAATCAGAATGTGTATTTATGTCCAGTCGGGGCGGGTAAGACCGTTACAACACCAAACAATACAAAAAGACGAAACGAGTGCAAAATATAGGAAAGGTAAACAAATTCATATAAATAAAAACTGAACAAATTTTTTTAAAAATCTTACCAGGTAAAGCCCACTGAGCTGTCGGCTTCTTTCCCAGCAGCGACCTGGCCACCGCAAGCGATAGCTCAGCGAAGCCGCCGTGTAGATAAAAATTTTGTAAAGTCTCCGTCGCCATCAGCGGTGGGGCAGGCACAGCCGGCTGTGGGAGCAGCGGCAGGGGAGGAGGAGGAAGGGCGAAAGCCGCCCTGAGGTAGTGGGGCCATGCCAGCCTGGGTGTGCCAAGGCCGCTGTGGGAGGAGGAGGTGGGCTGGGTAGGTCTTACGGAACTAACAATGCGAGATGGGAAAGGATAAATTAAAGGTCGTGACCTCCGCTTGGGGTTCCTTCTTGACCTCGGTAGAGCTCGGCGCGCTTCCCGCCGAGCCGTCGTGCGCAGGGCCAACGCTTCGTTGCGCGCGTACAACCCCCCTCTGTCGATCCGCTGCTGGATGAGGGCCTCCGCCCGGGCCGCGCGAGCCTTCAGGGTGTGGGTTGGTTGTTCGTGAAGGGCTTGGAGGGTAGATAGCGGGGAGCACCGAAGTACGGTACAACAATGGATGTAAATTATTGCACTGCCCCCTCTTGGCCACCATGTCGCCCCCGCGGCTTGGCTGGATTGGTCGGAAACAGGGAGAGACCCCACTCGTGTGTTTGTGTGTTCATTCGGCTGTTAAATGTACCTGTGTGTTTCTGCTCCCTCCACTCCCCCTCTCCCCTGTGCCCTTGCAGCAGCAGCAGCCCCCCCTGCTGCCCCCCGAGCTGGCGCTGCAGAGCCCGGGGGGAGCCCTGTCCCCTCCCGCCAAGCCGGCCTCTCCGTACTACCAGTCCTACGGGGCAGGGAATCCGCGTCGCCGGCCGCTACCGGAGCCTTCCCCCGCCGGTAAAGCAGCGACCTCACTGTCCTCACCGCTCCACCTACACCTCCTCACTCGTTCGGTTTACCGAATCGTTGTCGTCGTCGTCACCGTCATCATCATCGCCGTCATCATCACAGTTGGCTATGGTTCGCTACCTACGATGCGAAAGAAGTTCAACACGCATGCATACAGAACCAAACTATCACCCAATGAAGCGGCTTATTGCGTGGAAATGTACAGCAGGCAAATACTTTAAAACGCTTTTCAAATCTAAATGCGGAGGGAAAAACCGGGTGGACCCGGAGAAGAATCCACACGACCATGGGGAGAGAGACACGCAAACTCCAAAAATATACATGCGGCATTGTAGGGGTTGAACCCACGACCTCCTGCATACCAGGCAAGGGAGATAACATCTCACCACAGCGGCACCCCGAGTGTCGTGCTCACCAAAATGCATCCCTTTAGAACAGTTTTTGTTTTCGGTTTGTGTCGCCCTTCGCCCGCACCTCCGATTCGCTACGGTTGGCTACGTGCGGTGCAAAAGAAGTTCAGCGTGTACCGGACATGCACCGGGAGCGATGCTGTCTGCCGTTGGCTACCTCCGCAGCGCCTCTCGTGCGGTCGTCCGCTGCTGCTCGTCACACCCCACCCAAACCCCACCCACACCGGCCGATCGCTTTCCTCCTCTCCCTTCCACGTTGCCCGTGCGGGATGCACTCTGCACTCTCCACCCGTTCTGCAGCCGAATCTCCAGTGAAGGACGCCGTCTCCCGCCCGTATCGCACCGCCTCTCTCCCCACTCGCCTCCCGAGTCGGTCGGTCCGCCTCGTGCTCTGTTCAGCCGTGCTAGCCCCCTCTGGGTTTCTCCGCTCATTCCGCCAGCTCACTCGTCCCCATTCTTCTCCACCGCCTCCTTCTCAAATGCATCCAGGTTTTTTTTCCTTCCTTTTCTAAACCACATCCTTCCTCGTTGTACGCGTGTATGTTGAACTTCTTTTGCGCCGTACGTGGCCAACCGTCCCTATCCCTAATTCACGTGAACGTGCGAAAGGGTGTCGTTTTTCCCCCCAGAATAATTTTTTTTTATTTAAAAATGGGATGGCCTTTTTAAATGGGATCGTATTGGCTCTGACACAGCTGGCTTAGGTGACAAACAGGGCCTGCTTTTTTGTTTTGTTTAACAAAGTTAAAGGAAAACAGCTAATTTGAATTCCCAGCAAAAGGGGAAGGGGAGACAGAGCTGTTAATGCAATGTTTAGTTAATCGGTTAACTGGTTTATAACTTGTGCAGACATTCTCAGCTAACTTATTACCATTGATGAAGTCAGCGCCTGAAATGTCAATGTCTAATACTTTCGTAGAAGCCGGGAGAAGTAAGCCGGCAGTTTTGAGATTTGAGGTTGGAAACCCAGTCTCCCACTGAAATTAAATCGAATAGGTGACAAACAGGGCCTGCTTTTTTGTTTTGTTTAACAAAGTTAAAGGAAAACAGCTAATTTGAATTCCCAGCAAAAGGGGAAGGGGAGACAGAGCTGTTAATGCAATGTTTAGTTAATCGGTTAACTGGTTTATAACTTGTGCAGACATTCTCAGCTAACTTATTACCATTGATGAAGTCAGCGCCTGAAATGTCAATGTCTAATACTTTCGTAGAAGCCGGGAGAAGTAAGCCGGCAGTTTTGAGATTTGAGGTTGGAAACCCAGTCTCCCACTGAAATTAAATCGAATTCGATGCTAATTCAAACCAATGGTGTCCCCCATCTCTTTGGCCTGTTCCAGCTGGCCCAGGACGGTATTGGTAGCGAACGGCGCGATCGCCGCTCGTTGCAGAGGTTTGCAAGTTCGAAGCCAGCGGCCGCCCTGGATAATACTGCGAGTGTGTTAGCCGTAAACAAAAAATATATATCCCACTTCGCGTTTTGCTTCACAGGGGACGTTAAAGAATGAGCTACATAGCACATTTATTGGCGCTTCGGGACACATTCTTCACTTTGTGTGAGGCCGCGATGTCAAGGAATGGATCGTGATGATGGCGGTGATGATGCTGATGAAGCCATAAGAACACAGGGCCATTGTGACCTTAATGAGACCAGAACTGGGGTTGTGCCATCGACATATAAACTAAACAGTTTTTTTTATTTTACCAGATAAGGACCCACTGAGCTATTTAGCGCTTTTACAGAAGTGATCTGGCCACCACAAATGATCGCTCCATGAAGTGGCATATCCTGTGGAAATGTATAGCAGCCAAATAGTGTATGTAAGCCAAGACTTAAGGAAACTTACCTTTCGATGGCGACTCGCCTGAGTTAATTGGCTTTATTCTAATGATTATCACGGGTTGCAACGTACGGTGCGAAAGATGTTCTACATACAAAGGCAAAGATCCTCCGTATAGCCTTGACAGACTGTTGCAGCAAGTGCTGTTAGCGAGTAGCACCTACGTAGGCCGACACGGCCTACATAGGTAGGTATATATATGTCATCGTAGAATACGGTCTTGCCTCGACACGAGCCTCCCCACGCCGGGTTGGTCGTCGGAGTTGTCTTCCGCTCCTCCCTGTCACGACGCTCGGCAGCGCCGGCTGTGGCGAAGGCAGGGAACGCAGATGTGGGACCATAGAGTTACAGGACAAAAATGTATGGTTTTCGCACTGCGCTCTGCTGCCACCATGTTCGCCCCACGACCTATAACGCCTGCTATGCATGGTGGCCACCCATACCCAAGCACTCTCCAGGCTCAACTCACGCTCTGCTGTATCCTAAATGACTGAAAGCATCTCCTGACTAAACAAAGGATTCCACCGCTGCTGCTACCTTTGTGGGATCTATCACAGGCGCTGAGAAACAAGGCAGCGTCTGCTTGTGCGTGTGCACGTGCGTGCGGGCGTACACGTGCGTGTGTGTGCGCGTGTTCGCGGGTGCGTGCGTGTGCGCGGGTGCGTGCGTGCGTGCGTCAACCCCGCGCGCATCACCGTCCTGTGAAGCGACAGCCTTGCGGCGTTCGAATCGCCCTAAACGCGTTGGTGGCACGGTGCCGCGGATTAACAGCGAGATGGAACGAAGACGCATTTCTCCCACGCGTCAGCTCGCATTATTTCAGCCGCTCCGAGGCTGCGCCGCTCGCACGCCGTTGCACATGTTACGTCAAGACTCGTTAGGTTTGGGGAAGGGTGACCTGAAGCCCTGGTGTGCCGGTCACCTGATGACTCACTTTTCTTCCACAGTCTTTCCACATCCAAAAACTGTATATTTATTTAACATGTTTTTTTTTACAATTTTTTTTACCACCAGGTAAGGTCCACTGAGCTTGTAGATAGCTGTTTTTCAGAAACGACCTGGCCGAAAATGATAGCTCAGCGAAGTGGCTTATCGTCGTGTGGACAATTATAGCAGCCAAAGACTCTGAACGCGTGATGTTGATTCTAAATTTGGAGGGAAAAACCGGACGACCCGGAGAAAAATCCACACGACCACGGCGGAGAACATGCAAACTCCACTTGTACAGGCGTCCGGGTCGGGGTCGAACCCACTATCTCCTGCATACCAGGCTTGGTAGTTAACATCTTGCCACCGTGGCGCCCCACGCGACGCCAAAGACGCCTTCTTGCCATCCGATGGTTCGACTTCGTCAGCCGTTGCATCTAGGGACCGGTCTTCTGACGAATGAGAGCTTTATCAGTTCGAGGGAGACGGCCGTGTCACTCGGTGGGCAAAATTTTGCGCAACTTCGGTTGGCGGTCGGCGTTTGTAGTGAGAAGTGCGACCCTCTCACGAATGGCGCCGCCCTCTCGGTCGCCCCTCCCCACCCGTGAGGCGTGGATCAAACGAATGACTCGAGACACCGGCGTACGGCAGCAAAATTTGACCATGCGCGATGAACGTACGAATGAACGATGCTGCCAGTAATGGTCCCTGTGTTCTCAGAGCTCGATGTACGCGTCGATGATGAGTGAACGTCGTTTCTCGTTTGTGCGTGGCCCGCGTGCGTTTTAGACGTTCAAAACAAGAAGGTGCGCAAGGTTCCTCCTGGTCTGCCATCGTCGGTGAGTCCCTCGCTCCGTCCCCACATAATGACAGCATTGTCGCCCCACGCTCACCCGCCTAGCCATCACAACCACCACCATCGTCATCATCATCACTGTAGTCCTCCGTGTGATAACTATTACCATTCAATACCTATTTTTAAAAATATTATAATCACGCGCTTTGTTCTTGCCATTTGTTAATCCGCTGCTGAATGAAGGACTCCCCGTGCTGTTTCAGTCATGGCAGTTGTTTGACCATACTTCACCACACTGGACAGTGTGGCGCGATGGGAGGCCCAGAACCACTTCACTCGCCGCTGACGTTAGCCGTGGCCGGGAATGAAACTCGGGTTGCCGGGGGGGTCGTAGCGTGCTGCACAAACCCCCACTACCTTTTAGCGTTCCAAATATCACGGAGCAAAACATGCACGGGGCATCGTCTGTCACGGCATAGAACCGTCTTGTTGACATTTCAAGTCAATGCCTTTTTACCACGCTGTGGCTTGCTTATTGTCATCGCCGGCTAGCTGAAGCACCGTACTCGGCCCATAATTGTTGAACGTGGCGGCGCGTACAGAATGCCTCGTTAATTATAAACGCATGGTCAGCCGCAACGCGTTGGGGCACTTTTAATTCGGGGACTATTTACATAGTTTCCTGGTCATAAATATAACAAGTCCGATCACAGTTGCTCTCGGGCCTGCTCGGGATGGGTGGGCTTCTCTGGTCAACGTTTCACTTGGGTTCGTGCGTCCCCCACCTATGCGTTGGAGTTTCCTGGCTGCTGTCAGAGATTACATTCGCAATTACTGCGGTCTCCCCCATTGCAGCGGTAGCCGGCAGCGGGCTCTTCCAGTGGTTATGCCTTCATCGCCCCAATCACCCGTCGTCTCAGATCTCGGGATGCTGAGCAGGGTTGAGCCTGGAGAATGCTCGGAATGGGCGATCGCCACGGATGGACAGGTGTCATGGGCCGTGGGGCAGGAGAGTAATACCAGGCAAATAAATACAGGGCGCTTCAAAAATAATGTTAACGCTTATATGGGACTATCGTTTTTTTATGGAAAAGAACGGACAATAACACTGTAACATGATAACAAGTGTAATGTTAATAGCTTCAAAATGTCGCAGAGTCTCCACTCGTTCGCCATCGTTGTCAACGCGTGCCTGGAATCTTCTCCAGGTGGTCTCCAGAGCCCCTCGGCACATTTCTCGTGGTATTGTTGCAAATTCTCAGACGTGTAAACATTTTTTTTTAACCACCCTTTATATAATTGGACTGTACCTCTATGCTCTCCGGCATCTATGTTTTCTGCCACCGCCGACCCGCACTGATGAGAAACTTTGTCAAACGCAGTCGCCCCCCCATCCCCCCCCCCCATGACTCATCCAGCAGTGGAGAGAAACAAGTGCCCCTAGTTCCGCCGTGCAAAATAATCCCTCCCAGGTTTTACGTGTCGGGTTCTCTATGGTCTCAGCATGGGCAGGAGTGGAAACACAAATGCAATCGTGGGTTAAATATTCGTTTTTAAAATGTAAGCGAAAGCTGCCTTTGACATAGCCTGCTGGCAAAGACGCTCCCGCAGTAACGTTTAATTAACAGGAAATAACGAACTACACTGCAACCGCTTTTATGTACGAGGCAGGCGTTGGCAGCGCCATCTCGTTCGGTGGTCGTCGTATTCGCGAGCGAAGGCAACCGGGTGCCCGCGTTGCCGCGCCACTCGAGACGTGCGAGAGGAGACGTCTTGACGAGAGGAGGTAGACACCTGCAGGTGATGCCGGAGCGTGACGGTAATCCTGCAGGCTGAGAGAGATTCAAAACGTGGGGGGGGGGGGGGGGGGTTGGGAAATGCTTCTCTCTGTGTCTACATGTCAAGTGCACCGCGTTTGCATCTAAATGGGTGGAATAAAATTTACCAAACAGTCGCACAAACGCCCCAAAGCCGCCCACCCCGTCTCTCCGGCGGCACGCTCGGAGGCACCGTTAATACGTCGGCGACGGCTTAGGGAGCGACATTGTCAGCACTTTGCCGTCTGTGGCCTCCCGAGGGGGTGTGCCGCTCGTGCTACCCACAATCCCCTGCTCACCCTTGGGCCCCCCCCTCGCCCCCCCAACCGCCTGCCCGAGCGTCCCTCTCGTCCCGTCTCCCCGCGGGCGGCGCGGGTGGAGAGAAGGGGGGGGGGAGGTGGCAGGATGATGTCACCGCGTGAGCGCGGGGAACCCGATGTTAAATTAATGGCCGTGCTTGAGTTGGCGTCGAAGGACCGCGGTCCGTGCGACGCGCGCAGCTCGCTGAAACGGCAGGGCTCCGGGGTTGAGTTGTGGGCGGGGGAGGGAGGGGCGTTAACAAGGTGAGAGCCTCATTAAAGCATTGTGTCGTCAGCATCAGCAGCTGACGCTGATGACACCTGCTGGGGCTGGGAGCTCCAGGAGGAGGAAGGAGGGGGGGGGATGTTTATTCACCCCTTGACTTGACTCGGGTTTAGAGGTAAAGGTGCGGCCCTGCTGTTGCTCGCTCACCACCACTGCTGGCGGAAGGGCCCTCCGCTTGAGCGAACTTTGAGGTTGCTTGGTCTCCTTTTCCAGTGAGCAGGCGGGTTGGCAAGGGGTGGGTGTACCCACACTGTGCCCCACCGCACGCCACGACCTGCCGATCATAAACTAACCGTGGATTTCCCGGTGTCCGTACTGCTGCCGCCGCCCACGCACGGATCGCTTAGTTCGTCTTAACAATTAGCGATTCCCGTTGGGGTCATGGATCGTGATGCAGAGAGAGCTCTTGGGGCGGGCGCTGTGGTGCCCTGTGTGCCCGCTCCTGCCGGCTGACTTCCCCCCGCTCCACTACCCATGAGCCTCACTGATTTTTTTCTGCATCTCCGAGCGAGCTGCAGACAGAGTTTGAGCCACACTTTACCCCACCAAACGCGACCTGCCGATCTCACACACACACACACAATTTGTGGCACTATGGCTGGTGCACTACCCTACGAACACGGCGACCCTGAGTTAAATTTCCGCTAGCGGCCAACACCAGTGATGATTATCTGAACCGGACTTGGGCCTCCCCTAGGTCGACTCAGCCTCAAATTAGTACCCAGTGCGATGTGTAAAACATTACCACTGGGGAGACAAAGGCAGCCATGTGTGGCTCTGGCCACCCACCCCCTCGTGCGACGTGGTGGCCTTCATAGGTGCTCGCTTGCAGCACTTGCCCCATCGGTCTGTTAAGGCTATACAGGGGATCTTTGTTTTTACTAGCTTACACCAGTGTGTGTGTGACCGTCTGTGCGCTAGTATGTGCCTGCAAATGTGCACGCACTCAACACTCGCGCATACGTTTTTTGCATTCATTAACGCCTGTGTGTCTTCTCACCTCCTTGTGTGTGTGCTTGCTGACGTGTGCGTGCGTGCTTCCGTTGATGTGTGAGGGTGTGTGCACCAAGGGGTGGGTGTGTCGGCGCGCACGTGTTTGTCTGCCACTGTGTCTGTGTGCCCAGCTAGGGGGGTGTGTGCGCGTGTCTGTCTGCTGATGTGTGTGTGCGTGTGTAGTGCTGTGTGCGCACGTTCACGTGGCTGAGTGGTGAATCCCTGGGTGGATGTTTGGTGCCTCCTTCAGACGCTGCGCTGTAAGTGTGAGATAGGAGCTCCCTCCGTCCGGCACGCTTGCCTTGGTTCACGTCCACACAACCCGTGCTACCGTGTTCTGTGTTCCAATGACTTTCTCGTAGCAACTTAAAAAACATCTTCATTGATTGACTTCACCTTTTCCCGTTCTGAGACATCTGCAAGTTGCAGGGTGGGTGTCCCGTTCACCGCTGAATCTCGGGAACGCGCCAACGGCTCAGCGTTCATTTTATTTCGAGAGGGGTAGCGCCGTTGCTTTTAAAGACATCGTACTCGTCGCAGAGAACCGTAGCGGCACGACCGCGCTCTACGATAGCTGGCGCCAAACTGTGCCACGCGCCCTCCCGTGTGGCCTTGTGGGAGCCTCGGTACTGAGAAAGTTATTTTTATTTTTTTCTTCCGGTTCCATTTCGACGACGTACATGTCGAAACGGGAAAGGGTTCAAATGCCATTACTTAATATCTGAAGACCTGCGTTGATGAGTTTCATCTGTAGATGTCACAATCTGTGCGTAGGGTTTTTTTTGTCAATGGAGGAAGGGTATCCTAGCTTGAACGAGAGTTTAACCTGACCGAGGAAAGGGAGGTTGTGTGTTGGTTCAGCGTATGCACATTTTGAATCGGTCACAATTAAGCTGATCCACCGTAGGAATCGACCAATCATATCCTCTGGTCACGTGGCACAGAGGTCAGAAGTGCTGAACTGGTTGGTACCTCTCAGGTCGTGGGTTCGAATCCAGGAAGTTAGATTTGAGCCCACGAATGACAAAAATAACCCAACACATTAAATTAGTTTTCTGCAACTTTAATTGTATTAAATTCCAGCTTTGAGGATTAAAACTATTTGCATTCGCTGCTATGCGAAGGTATATTAACATACATACATTATGCTCTGGCACAGTGGATGAGTGCTGCCCCTTAGTGCGTAGGTCAGAGGTCACATGAAAGGATCTCAAAAGCACTTCCGTGGTTCATCCTGTTACATGGGGGGGGGGGGGTGCACACAGATCTTTGCGGGTTACAGATGAATCCGTGATCTCGTGACGATGATGGCACGTTTGGTGGAAATAACTAAAACTAAAATTGGACAAACTTGGATGAATGTGGCATTATTTGAGTCCATGATTATTGGAATATCTGGATTGTTTGTTATAAACACCTATCCTGGAGCCCTTTAACTCCGTTCATTACCCTAAAAGGCATGGACAGTTGCATGCTTGGAATTACACGGAGAGACAGAAACAGGAACACATAAGGATCTGAGAAAAAAAATACTTATGAGAGCCATCGCACGGACAATTCTGAAGAGTAGCTGGGGTCGGGCAGGACAACACCGCCATCGCCACACCGGATGACGGCCAGTGGTGGACGAGACTGGCGACGGAACGGC